GTGCTGACTAAGCTCTTGTTTGTGCTGACTAAGCTCTTGTTTGTGCTGACTAAGCTCTTGTTTGTGCTGACTAAGCTCTTGTTCATGCTGACTAAGCTCTTGTCCCAATATTACCCTTATTACTTATAAGTAAGCAACTTTTGTTACTTACGGGACGATTCTCTGCCATCCTCCTCTGCGGCCTTTCTCAGGACAATTCTCTGCCATCCTCCTCTGCGGCCTTTCTCAGGACGATTCTCTGCTGTCCTTTCCCGGGATGATTCTCTGCCGTCCCCTCCTCGGGTGCTCTTCACTGGATGCTTCGTACTCAGGTCCCTTGTCTGGGTGCCAAGTGTCCCAATTATTACCCTTATTACTTATAAGTAAGCCTTTGTCAAGTGCCTTTTCTGTGTTTATCAAAATGGTCTTGTGATTTTTGCTCTTTTTTCTACTGACATGATCTTTGTATTCATTGATTTTTATGTTTTTCTAGTTCATTTTCTGTTGCTATTACAAGAATACTTGAGACGGAGTAGTTTATAAGGAAGAGAAACTTCGTTAGCCCACAGTTCTGGGAGCTGGGAAGCCCAAGCTCGAGTGGCCGCGTCGGGTGAGGGCCTCACGCTGCTTCCGAACATGGAGAAGCAGGAGGGGCAGTGGTGCGTGTGGAGGGGGTCGGAACAGGACAGGCAGTGCTTCATGACAACTCACTCCCACGAGAAAGGATCTGACCTGCAAGAACTAACCCGATCTCGAGTGATAGTAATCTATTTGTGAGGGAAGAGCCTTCATGACCCAAACGCCTCCCCTTAGACGCCTCCTCCCAGCACTATTGCATTGGCAATTAAATTTCAACATGACTTTAGGGCAAATCACATCCAAACAATGACATTTCCCCTGGGTCCCTCCAAACTCACGTGCTTACCACATATAAAAAACAATCATTTCATCCCAACAGTTCAAACGATCTAAGCTTTCGCTGTTCTACCGTCACCTCCAAAGTCCAAGTCTCATTTGAGACGAAAACCAAACTCCCGCATGCTATGAAAAGTTAAACAGGTTTTTTGATTATAAAATATAATGGTGGGGGACCAATAGTTGACGTAATGGCTATGTCGCTGGACTGCCATGTAGTCAACCGTGGTTCAAGTCCCGGACCCGGTGGCTTAAACTTACACCGGGCGTGTGTGTGCATGCCATGCCCAAGGTCCTGAGAGGAGAATGGAGAAGGGATTGGGCATAATCATGCCCCCTGTGGGGTAATTTCTCACTTTCTATCTTTCTGTCTCTCTGTCTTTCTGGCGAGCGCATGCGCCCTATAGCAAAAACCTCTCCAAAAGAAAATATATATTTATGTATAATGGTGGAACGGCATAGGGTATGCATTCGTATTCTCAAAGGGAGAATTACGTGGAAAGAAATATTATCAGATCGGGAAATTGAGTTAATTTGTGTAAAATTTTCAGTTCTTTTGATCCAGATCTTTAAGATAGAAACCTGCCGTGCAACAGACGACTCCGGAGATGGTCTTCTCTTCAGCACTTTATTTCCCCAGGCTCTGAATACAGAAGTTCTTTTTTTCCTCCCCAACTCTAGGACCTTATAAAGGGCCCCTGGCCAATCGGGATGTTGTCCACGTGTGCGGAAATCAGTTCTCGGGTAGGGATTGGCTGCATGTGATGTTCCCGTGCTCTCCACGCTCCACGCGCACCACCAACTTCGATCGCTTAGTGAGCTTCCGCTAGGTGCCATCTTTAAGATGAGCGCTGTAGGCGATGGGCGGGGGCGCTCCACAGCAACCGGGTGTCTGCAGCGTAGCCGACATCTGTTTGAATTCGCAGGCTCCCATCTGCCCTTGCATACTTCTCCTTCATGTAGGAATCTGCTTACCCAGTCCTGCATGCCAGTGTGGACTTGGAAGGGGTGAGCAGCCACACAGGGACCATCTGCCCCATTAGTTTACTGCCCCGGTGGGACTGAGGATGTTGACCAAGCATCTTGGGGAGATAATCTCTCCTTTCTGGGTGCCAGTGGGTCTAGCTGTGTTCCCCGGTAACAGTGAGTGATGTATCAGATGTCCCCTCTGTTGGCGTATTGGAACTCCCTGCTCGTAATATCCACCTGTAACAGGAAGTGCTAACTGGGCTAAAGCCAGTCTGAAACCCAGCAGGGCACACCTTAAACCTTAAGCAGGGAGTGAGTGCTGACTCCCTAGTGCAGTTGTAAGTGCTTTGCAGAAGCCAGGTCCCACACCTCTGGCCAGGGTTCAAGCCCTGTCCCAGTGGCTCGAAGAACACTCAAGGCGCATGTGCATGTGCCCAGGGTCCTGATGGGATGGGGACGTGGAGGAGAAAAGAGTGTGGTGTGACCAGACCCCACTGGGGGGTTCTCTCTCTCTTGTGTGTATGTGCATGCACCCTCTGGAAAAAAAAAAAAGAAGGCTGAAGGCCAGATGCGCAGCCTTGGTGGTGTGGGCAGTAGAGCCCTGGAGCTGCACGGAGTCCTGGCTCCAGATTCTAGACTGAGCTGAAGGGGCTGGTTGTGCCTACGTGCCTGTGCTCCAGGCTGCCCAGGAGGCTGTGGGGAAGACAGCGATGGGGTAAGGCCCCCATGCGTAGCTCTCTCCGTAGCTCTCTCCGTCGATGTAAATAAACTTAAAAGAACGTAAGGCTAGAAAATACGCTCTTTCGATTCCATGTCTCACTTCCCGGGTACACTGGTGTAGGGGTTGGTCCCCTAAAGGTTCAGGAAGTCCCGCCCCTAGGGCTTTGCCAGGTCCTGCTCCTGTGGCCACTCTCAGGGGGTGGAGTTGCCATGCTCTGACGCCTGGTTTTCCAGGGAGGCACTGCCTGTTGTTGGTGCATCCCACCCCGTGGTTCCACCAGGTGTTGTCCTCGTGGGGACTCTGGTGGCTCTGCTCCTGCATTAAATTCTGCCTGGTCCTGAAGACTTTCTGATATGACCTTTGAAACCCAGGCAGAGGATGCCATGGCTCCCGAGCTCTTGCGTCCTGCATGCCTGCACAGGGGTAGCGCTGAGGCTTACGAGTTGCCTCTATGGAGCAGTGGCATGAGCTGCATGCGGGCCTCTTTGAACCACAGTTGGGGCAGCAAAGTGTGTGGGGGAATGCAGGGAGCAGACATGCAAGGAGCACGCTCAAGCCAACAAGGCCATCCAGGTTCTGTCTTCTGAACTCACTCTGCCCTCCTAGGCTCTGGGTGTGTGATGGGAGGGACAGCCTCAAGGTCTCCTCCAGGCTGTCCTTTCATTGTCTGACTACAGACGCCTCAGCTCCCAGCTAGCCAGGCCATCTCTTTAGCAGAAGGTTATTTGATTATACCCTTGCACTCTTTTGATCCTTACATGGCCAGATTGCAAATGTCCCAAATATTTGTGCTAAGCTTCCCTTTTAATTACAAATTCTGTCTTTAAGTCATTCCTTTGTCCCTGAATCTCACAGTAAGTGGTCAAAAGTAACCACCCAGCATCTTGAGTACTTTACTGCTTAGAGATTTCTTCTGCAGGATACCTGGCTCACCACTCCTGCATTCTGCCTGGCGTGAAAGCCCTACCGCGATGCAGCCATGGTTTTTGATACTTTATTCCAACGATGGCCTTGGCTTTGTTTTTTTTTCTTTCTTTCTTTGTATAATTTTGCTAGAGGCACGCTGGGCTGGGCGAAGGAGACCGAGAGGGAGAGGAAAGCAGCCCTCTGTGGCGTGTGGTCATGCCACAATCTCTCCTTCTTTTCTCCATCCTGTGAGGATTTGGGTTCTGTGTGCACATGTGCCTTGTGTGTTTTTCAAGCAGGTGGGTCCAGGACTCAAACAGCATGGTTGGCCATTTAGGGTGCCACTCCCTTAACCCCTAGGCCGTGGGGCTGCCCCATTAACACTTGGCTTTTCGTTCCCATCCAAGATCTCATCAGACTGGCCATTACTGGCCACATTAAAAAAAAGTATTGTCGACGGTAAAAATAACCACCTGTAAAATTAATAATTGTGGACAGAAGTCTGACTACTTTTCCTATTTTTCCAAAATCTTTTCAAAAGGGGACTGGGGAAGTCATGCCACAAACATGAACAGACCATTTATCTTCTATTAACAGGATTCTTCCTACCTCCTGTCCCTGGCATAGTATCTTTGAGATGTACATTTCAACCGATTAGTATATTCTTGTGCTTATCTCTAAGACACAGAACTTCCCTTTTCCTTGAGATGCAGATTAAGCCTTTCTTTAACTAAGACAGGGATCTTCCCTTCCAATCACCACCTAGGAATTGTGGAGCCCACCTATAACCTACAAGCCCCCACTTCTACATGTCCCGCCTTTTTGGGCCAGACCAATGGAAAATCTTTTCACTAAATGTTGTGTGTCAATCTCAAAAGCAAATAAAAGGAACCTCTGTGCAGGATCACCCCGAGAAAAGGCATGTATGCTTCTTCTCCGGGCCTAGGTCACTCACAGTTGGCTTGGAAATAAACCGCATTAATGATTAATTATTAATTTTACAGTTGGTTATTTTTCCCGTCGACATAATTAGTAATTACTGCATTAATTATTAAGTATTAATTTTACAGTTGGTTATTTTTTCCGTCGACATAATTAGTAATTAATTATGTCATGCCCACAAACATTTCTTTTTATAGTCCTGTTAATGTTTGTGGCATGATTTCCCCAGTCCCCTTTTGAAAAGATTGTGGAAAAATAGGAAAAGTAGTCAGACTTCAGTCCACAGTATTCATCTTACAAGTTGCTCTGCACTCCAAATAAACAATAGCTTTGAAAACAACGTTTAGAAAATAAAAGCCAACGCAAAAAGCCAGATTAAAACAGCTAGAACAGTGCAGGTTCTATAGGACCCGGCTGTTCCAGTTTTCTTACTGCATCATCAGTGTCAGAAGTCAGTTCCTCCGGCTGGCTCCGTGGCTCTGGATTTAAAGAATTACCCTTTCTTCCTGGTTTCTTCATGGACCCACCTTCTGGATTCATCCAATATTCCCTAATAGGAAGGCTAATGTCCCGAGCACTGCCATATCGCCTCTTCCCAACCTGAGACATGCCACCATCTCTGCTGCTGCTCTGTTTGGAGGACGACGGAGCTCTGGGAGTTTCACCAGTCTTCTGCTTCTTTACCGATTTTTCTGGTGAAACTTGCTTTTGTAGAAGGCCGCATATTAGATCTTACACATGAACACCTGTTTGTCCATTTTGTTCTCTTATCCTAATAAGGCTGTCTGTTTTTTCTTTTTTCTTTTGAGAGGGTTTTGCTACAGGGCCTGTGCACTCGACAGAAAGAGACAGACAGAAAGCGAGAAATCACCCCCCAGGGGGAATGGC